AAAAAGGTCTTGTGCAGCAGATTTACCTAATGCAATATGTCATTTGATTTCTTGAGTGCTGCTGCCTTGAATGTTGATAGTTGATTCAAGAAGAATGAAGTCCTTAACAACTTCAATCTTTTCTCTGTTGATAAGAATGTTGTTTATTGGTCCAGTGATGAGGATTTTTGTTTTCTTTACATTGAGAGGTAATCCATACCGAAGGCTGTGCTCTTTGATCTTCATCAGTAAATGTTTTAAGTCCTCCTCTTCACTTTCAGCAAGCAAGGTTGTGTCATCTGCATATCGCAGGTTGTTATGAGTCTTACTCCAATCCTGATGCCATGTTTTTCTTCATATAACCCAGCTCCTTGGATTATTTACTGAGCATGCAGGTTGAATAAGTATGGTGAAAGCATACAATCTTGTCGCACACCTTTTTAAATTTTAAAATATTCAGTATTACCATGTTCTGTTTGAACAACTGCTTCTTGGTCCAGGTACAGATTCCTCATGAGCACAGTTAAGTGTTCCGGAATACTCATGTTGTAATATTTAGCTTTATCTTCTTAAGCTGATCTTTGAAATTTTCTGTTCAGCTTTTGAACCTCCTCATTTCTTCCATTTACTTTAGCATCTCTATGCTGGAGAGCAAGTTTCAGTGTCTCTTTTGACATCCATTTTGACCTTTTCCTTCTTTCTTGTCGTATCAGTGACTTTTTGCTTTCTTCATGTATGATGTTCTTGATCTCATCCCACAACAATTCTGGTGTTTGGTCTCTAGTGTTTAATGTATCAAGTCTTTTCTTCAGATGATCTCTAAATTCAGGTGGGATATATTCAAGGTCATATTTTGGCTCTCTGTGGACTTGTTTTCATTTTCTTCAGCTTCAGTTTGGATTTGCATATAAGTAATTGATGGTCTGTTCCACAGTCTGCCCCTGGCCTTGTTTTAACTGATGATATGGAGCTTTCCCATTGTCTCTTTCCACAGGTGTAGTCAATTTGATTTCTATGTATTCCATCTGGTGAGGTCCATGTTTATAGTTGTCTTTTATGCTGTCTAAAGAAGGTAGTTGAAACGAACAAATTGGTTTTGCACAATTCTATCATGCAATCTCCAGCATCATTTCTATCACCAAGTCCATATTTTCCAACCACTGATCCTTCCTCTTTCTCCCAACCTTTGCATTCCAATAACCAGTAATGATCAATACATCTTGATTGCATGTTTGATCAATTTCAGATTGAAGAAGTTGATAGAATTCTTGTATTTCATCCTTACTGGCTTTAGTAGTTGGTGCGTAAATTTGAATAATAGTGGTATTAACTGGGCATCCCTGTAGGCGCATGGATATTATCATATCACTTACAGCATTATACCTCATGACTAATCTGGATATGTTCTTTTTGACAATGAATGCAGCACCATTCCTCTTCAGTTTGCCATTCCATGCATAGTAAACCATCTGGTTGTCAGATTTAAAATGGCCAATACCAGTCCATTTCAGCTCACTAATGCCTAAGATATCGATGTTGATGCGTTCCATTTCATTTTTCACAACTTCCAATTTTCCTAGATTCATACTTCGTACATTTCATGTTCCGATTTTCAATGGATGTTTACAGCTGTTTCTCTTCATTTTGAGTTGTGCCCCATCAGCAAATAAGGTCCCGTGGTCTTTTCTCCCATGTACTTTACTCCATTTGCGTCATCATGGTGAACTCTACTTTGAGGACACAGTTCTTCCCCAGTCGCATTTTGAGTGCCTTCTAACCTGAGGGGCTCATTTTCTGGCACTATATCTGACAGTGTTTCTCTGCTATTCATAAGGTTTTCAGTGACTAAATATTCAGAAGTAGTTGGTCACTCTTCCTAGTTTGTCTGTCTGGAAGCTCATCTGAAAACTGTTCACTATGGGTGACCCTGCTGGTATTTAAAATACCAGTGGCATAGCAATCAGAATCACAGCAACTCACAAGCCACCACAGTAAGACAAACTGGCAGACGAGTGTTTAAGATAGATAAGTAAAAACAGAGGTGGGGTGCTTTGTTGCTTTTTACTGATGGTGTAGTGATCGAGGGGCAAAGTTTCTCTTTTTAAAGAGGGAGGACAGAGTAAAGAGTGTTTCAGTTCCAATGAATCTCTTTTGTTTTCTCTCTCATTCAGCCAAGCAGAAGCTGAAGAAAGGAGAAGGACTGAAGAAGATGCAAGAAATAAAAGAGAATCTGAAAACCCACCCTCATATGCAGTGCGTGGAATCCATCCATTTAGTCCTACTTGGCACTACAATTTCAGCACATCACAGATAATCTAATGGCTGGAATGCTATCCTGCAAAAATCCCCAGAAAATTTTAACTCTTCAATCTGTATTTGATATTGAGAGAAATGCCAAGGAGATTGACTAGCTCTTGCTACTTTAAAACTGACACTTTGTAATTTGTTGTTGCTAAGTGCCTTAGAGTTGGTTCTGACTCATAGTGACCCTTTATAGGGCTACCAAGGAGCAGCTGGTGCACTCGAACTGCCAACCTTATGATTCAAACCGACCTTGCAGTCCAGTGCATTAACCCACAGTGCTACACCAGGACTCCACACTACATAATAAAAGACCATCTAAGTTTTAGATCCAGTTCTGTCATTTACAGACTAATGGGCTTGTCATTCAAGTCTTTTTGGGCTGGTCATTAAACTGTTCTCATTCTTTGTTGTTGTTGTTGTTGTTATGTGCCATGGAGTCGGTTCCGACTCATAGTGAACCTGTATAGGGTTTCTGAGGCTGTAAATCTTTACGGGAGCAGAAAGCCTCATCTTTCTCCCATGGAACAGCTGGTAGTTTCTAACTGCTGACCCTGAGGTTCGCAGCCCAATTCATAACCACTATGCTACCAGAGCGCCTTGTTCTCATTATTAGGTCCTAATAAACTGGGCTAATAATCCTTGCCTTTCTTAGTCTAAGGGTTATTAAGAGTAACTTGCTGTTGTTGTTAAGTGTCGTTGAATCGGTTCAAGCTGATGTTGCAGTCCAGCACATTAGCCCACAGCACCACACCACGACTCCATTAGGAATAACTAAAAAATAATAAGAATGTACTTTGTAAACTTTAAAACATAGTGTGAATATACAATTTTATCAATATCCAAATGGGGGGGAAAGTTCCAAAGTCCCCACATTATAACCAAAATGATATGTAATAATTCTGAAAGCTCACTAGATTATAGGATAAATTTCAGGATTCTGAAAGTTTCATATGAGTTAAGGAAAGAATTGAAGTAGTCCTTATTCTGCATTTACAATAAATTATTTAAGAAGTACCTGCATCACCTCAGCATTATAGGAGGTCTAAAATCAGGCCTAACTCCATTTGGGTCCTGAAAAAAAATGACCTCACAGATGACCCAATGTCCAGGAAGAGCATAAGAGCACCTATGTGCAGAATGCCCCCTATCCTAGAATGACATCAAAATTGCTCACATCAACTCACACATATTTATGAAGCTTTTCCTTTAGGTAAGAATATTAGAAATGCTTTCATCAATAAGGCGCAGCTATTAGATATTGCTAACATAACAACAACAACAACAACCACTTTCCATAGAAATTCTATATGTGTGTTTTCAACACATGAGCATTTCTGAAATTTCACATATGAATTGGATAAAAATACTTTGAGTCCACAATAAAAGTATGATTTTACTTCTTAAATATTATTATATTGATTTTATAGCCTTATATCAATTATTGACACCTCTCAATTGCCGTCACCTATGGTTCAGATGTGTGCAGTGCTGTAGGATCAGCACTGGATTGCTAACAGCAAGGTCGGTGGTTCAAACCTTCCAGTCACTCCTTAGAAACCCTAAATATGGTTTCCATGAGTCAGAACTGACTCAATGACACTTAATTTAAACTTAATGGTTCAGATAAGAAGCCCTTTGATTAAACTGCCAAAGGTCAACCAAAGACTACCAAAAGGTGAGCAATTTGAACCCAGCCATTCCATGGGGCAGGGGATGAAATAATTTACTTCGGTAAAGATTTACAGTCTTGGAAACCCTGTGTTCTCCTCTACCCTGCGGAGTCACTATGAGTCAGACTGAACTCGATGGCAGTGGGTTTGTTTTTTTTTTTTTTGGTCTATGATTCAGGTAATGAACTTCTCCTAAATTTCTCCAGGGTTTTACCTTTCATCTACAGCTAGACTCCTGAATGTATCTATAATAATGTTTGTGAAAATCAGATGACACTACTATTCCACTTAAAACCCACAAATAGCTCAACTACAGGGTGAATGTCCATCTCGCTATACCTTTATCTGTTTATTTGTCTCTTCAATTCCATTCTTACCTCTGTTACACAGCTTATATTATTTTGACAATCTATTACCAAATCTATTTTCACCTAGGAAGATCCTGTTGACTCTTTAAAATCTCATCTAAATAATTCTTGCTACCTAAAATGTTCCCTGGTTTCCACAATCAGATATTGTGGTACCAGTCTCTGAAATTTCAGATTTTTTTGTACCTTTTATATTATCTAGATTTTAACAGAATTTGCTTGACTAGTCTTCTATTATATTACGACGTATGATTTTGTGTTATATATTCCTGTTGTTTAGTGAATAATAAGGTTTGTATGTTGAATTAAAGTTAACATGTGAGAGAAACACAATTAAAACCTTGTGCTCAAAGAGGCATAACATTAGTTTTTCCAATGTTGTTGTTATTGGTAAGTGCTATTGAGTCAGTTTTAGTGTGCAGCAGAATGAAATATTGCCTGGTCCTGTGCCATGTTCACAATCATAGCTGTGTTCAAGACCATCATGTAGCCATTAGGTTAATACATCTCACTGAAAGTCTTCCTCTTTAGCTGATCCTCTATATAAAGCAAGCCTGAAGTCTTTCTTCAGTGACTGATCTCTCCTGATGACTTGTCCAAAGCACATAAAGTCTTGCCATCTTTGTTCCTATAGAGGATTCTGATGGTACTTCCAAGACAGATGTGTTGATTGTCTAGAAGTTCATGGTATACTCAATATTCTTTGTCAACATCATAATTCAAAAGCTTCAGTTCTTCTTTTGTTTTTCTTGTGCATTGTTCAGCTTTTGCATGCATATGAAGCAATTGAAAATACCATAACTTAGATCAAGTGCTCCTTAGACCTCAAATTGGTATCTTTGCTTTTTAACACATTAAAGCAGTCTTTTGTCCCAGATTTGCCCAATGCAATATGTCACTTGATTTCTTGACTGCTCCACCCTTGGATGTTGATTGTGGATCCAAGTAAAATGAAACCCTTGACAACTTCAATCTTCATTGTAACTTATTAGTCCAACTATGAGGATATTTGTTTTCCTTATGTTGAGTTGTAATCCATATTGAAAGCTCAAATCTTTGATCTTGCCAATGTAGTGTTTTCTAAATTCTAATATGAAGAAGAATGAAATATATGTCTAACTTCTTTTGTTTATCTTGGAAGGAGATATGCAGTGAATACCGAAACTTTATGAGGAATGGAAAACTCCCTTGCACCAGAGAGAATGACCCCATCCAGGGCCCTGATGGGAAAATGCACGGCAACAGCTGTTCCATGTGTGAGGCCTTCTTGTAAGTGGTGCTGAAACTGGGAAAATGGGCAGGGTTTGATCTTTTCAACTTCATTTCTGTGTTTAATTATGTGATGGTCACTCAAATCAGAAAATAAAAAAAAAAAAAGAAAATATTTAGAAGAAACTATGATTGGATAAACATATAAAACCATATCCTTTGAAAATTGTTGTTGTTAAGTGCCCTTGAGGATTGATTGTTACGACTTCTTTAAATATCCAAGTAGTTTTCCTTTTAAATGTGGAAACAGGGCAGTTCTAGGCTGTTTCTATGGGTGAAAGTGAAAGCTGTGGAAAGTAGGTTCTGGCTCAATAAGGTAACTGGGAAATGGTACTTTATCACCCACTGCTGATGTAGCCAATATTCAGAGCCAGGACTCACAGCAAAGAGCAAAGTGTTTATTGAGTATTGATACCCCGGAGGACATAGAAGTGGAAAACTCCCAGATCTGTCCTCTGGAGGGAAAATGAGGGGGAGGATGTATAGGGATCTCAGGCATAGAAGAGGAGGCTAAGGAATTTCAGAAACTTCTTTGTCGCTTTTTCTCAAGTCTTGCTGAGTGTTCTGGACCTGTTGTTAGTATGGTTAGTTTTTTCATAGCAGTGGTCATCAGTGGCCTTCACAATAAATATACTGCTGTTTTCCCCTTCCAGGGATAGTCCTTAGAATGGGGATTGTTGTTATTCAGTGCTGTTGAGTCAGTTTTGACTCATATCAACCCTGTATAGGGTTTCCAAGGAGCAGCTGGTGAGTTTGAACTGCTGACCTTGCAATTCAAACCGATCTGTGTCCAGTGCTTATCCTACAGCACCACATTAGCTACTAATTAAAAGAAGACATGATTAATCTCTAAAACATAAAATTAACTATAGAGTAGTAATTGACTTTAACAGGTAGTTATGAACGAAGCTATATTTTAACTATAACTTTTATGACTGTCTGTATTTCATTTTACTTTGGCCAAGCGAAAATTTCTTGGTGCACTTAGTTTCTCACTCTCCGTTTCAATACTAGGAAGAACTTTCTACGATTTGAGGGTTTCAGAGTTGGAAAGAAACATGGGTGTCGCAGATGATTTAGGTAGAGAAGTCACTGACACAATTAATGCAAAGACTAGATAGTCATCAGTGATAATGTAACACATCGGAAGTTTAGAAGAACACCTCTTGACTAGGTTTAAATCCTTGTTGCTGTTGTTTTTAAGTGCCATCGAGCTGGTTCTGACTCATAGCAACCCTGTACAGGGTTTCTAAGGAGCAGCTAGTGGGTTTGAACTTCTGGTCTTATGGTTCACAGTCCAGTGCTGATAGTACTTATTAGCTGTGTGTCCTTGGGCAAGTTTTGCATTCTTTTTAGAATCAGTTTCCTTATCTGTAAAGTAGGGATATAGCAAAAGTTTCCGCTACAAGCAGTTGTGAAGTGTTAATAGTATGAGCACACAGCTAGGCACACAGCATGAATTTAATCAACATTAATTACAATTATTAAGTACTATTTGAAATTAGTATTAATGTAGAAATTCTATGATTCTTACTCACCTCTTTTGCGATTATTCTTGTTTAGCCAAGCAGAAGAAGAAGCAAAGAAAAAGAAGGAAATTGAATCAAGAAATAAAAGACAATCTGCGAATATAGCTTCGTTTGAGGTTAGTGAACCTTATTGAACAAGTCAGGGACATATGTGCTTGGGACTCCATAGATGATATTTAGGAAACTGATAAACTCCTTGAAGCTATTTGAAACTTCTCTATAGTTTGTGTGTTGTTTGAATGTGGATACTCAATGTGTGACTATTTCTCAGTTGAATGTCATAGTTTTTATCATTGTTGTGGTGTGTTGCCAAATTGGTTTAAAATCATAGCTACCGTTTATAGGGTTTCCAAGAGTGGCTGGTGGGTATGAACTGCTGACCTTGAAGTTAGCATTTCAGTGCTTATTCTGCAGTGCCACACAATGACTCTATTTCTTATTGACATTGTTGTTGTTAAGTGCCATCGAGTCCATTCTAACTCATAGCAACCCTGTATAGGGTTTCCAAGGAGCGACTGGTAAGTTTGAATCCATGACCTTGTGGCTCAAACTATCCTTGAGGTCCAGTGCATATTCTACAGCAGCACACCAGGACTTGCTAGTTTTTATTGTTGTTGTTGTTGTTAAGTGCCACCGAGTCAGTTCCAATTCATAGTAACCTTGTATACAGTTTCCAAGGAATGGCTGGTAAGTTTGAACCACCGATCTTACAGTTCAAACTGACCTTAAGGTCCAGTGTATTATCCTGCAGCGCCACATCAGTTTTTATTAGGTACTCAAAGATATCCATAGCTCCTCAGTTAAGAATAAATATAAAATAAACCAATTGCTGACCTCCACTTAAGAAAAAAAACAAATCCCCTAAAGTCTTCAACTAGTTTTCACAACCTGATCCAATCTAGGTTTAACACCTCCATCTTTCTTTCTCTATTTCACAGGAGTTGTGCACTGAATATCGCAAATTTATGAAGGATGGACGGCTTCTCTGCACCAGGGAGAATGACCCCATTGAAGGCCCAGATGGGAAAATGCATGGAAATACTTGCTCCATGTGTGACACCCTCTTGTGAGTTAAACACCAACTACAGTGCTTCTGAGCCAGCAGGGAGAGGGAACTGCTATGGGAAGGTTTCCAACAATGATGATTAATGCATTTTCCTTTTAAGTGTGTAACTTTCAGTTTTGAGTGTCATATTTAAAGAAATTAAAAAACAAACAAACAAAATAAAAACAACAACACCTAAGAAGCAAGTAGAGAGTTTTCAGATGATAACTAATACAGTGGTTAAAAACAAAAACAAAAAAAATTCCGAGTAATTCTTTTAGGACATTTCAGAAGACATCCAGAGAAGAGATAACTTCATGGTAATCTTGCCAAATACTTTCAATTTTCTGAAGGATTATACCTTGGATTATGAAAAGTTGATAGTTATTTTTAGATGTCCTTGAATCGGTCTAACTCACAGTGACACTTTTGTGTGCAACAGAGCAAAACACTGCCCAGGCTACTACCATCCTCATAATCTTTGCTCTATTTGGGCCTGTGGTAGAAGTCATTGTGCCAATTCATCTCACTGGTGTCTTCCTTTTTTTCATTTTCATTGATCCTCTACTTTACCAAGCATTATGTCCTTCTTCAGACATTTGTGCCTCCTGATAACATGTCCAAACTACATGACACAAAATCTTGCTATCTGCACTTCTAAGGAACGTTCAGCTATACTTTTCCCAACACAAATGTATTCATTTTTCTGCCATTCCGTGATACATTTAATATTCTTTGCCAAAACCATAATTCAGAGGCATCAATTCTTTTTTGATATTTCTTTTTCATTGTCCAGTTTTCATATGAACAAGAAGGAATTGAGAATATCATAGTTTGAGTCAGGAGCACTTTGTTGTTGTTCATTAACTCCCATTGAATTGGTTCTGATTCATAACAGCCCTGTATAGGGTTTCTGAGGAGTGGCTAGTGGGTTTGAACAATTGACCCTGCAGTTCAAAATGACCTGTTGTCCAGTGCTTTTCCTACAGCCCCACATAAAATATTAGTATGATACATGGAAAAATGTATGGGATTTTTTCCAGTTCACTATCTTTCTTCTTGATGTGGTGCTGTTGCTGTAGTATCAGCACTGGGCTACTAACCATGAGGCTGGCAGTTCAAACCTACTAGCCACTCCTTGGAAACCTTATACAGGGTTGCTATGAATCATAACTGACTTGACAGCATTTAACAACAACAATAACCTTTCTTCTTACTCATCTATGTTACCTCAAGAATAGAATTAGAGTGAGCAAGAGATACAGGAAGACAGATTTGAGTTCCACATGAAGATAAACTTTGTAATAGAATAGAGACAGACAGCTTCAAGAGTGATGATTTTGTTCCATAGCAGTTGTTGTTAGGTGTGTTGAATTGGCTCCAACTCATAGTGACCCTGTGCCCAACAGAACGAACACTGCCCGGTATTGCCCCATCCTCAGAATTGTTGCTATGCTTGAGCCCATTGTTGCTTCCACTGTGCCAATCCATCTTGTTGAGGTTCTTCCTCTTTTTCACTGACCTTCCACTCTATCAACCATGATGACCTTCTCTAGGGACTGGTCCCTCCTGATCCATAGAAGTTAGGTGCCCATTTATAGGGGACTCAAAATCTGACTTTAGGATAGGTATGATATGTCTTCTCACATAAGAGGTGATGATTTTTCTGGTGTCTTTTGATCATTGACACAGAACTATTCTAATTTATTTTCTATATGCTGAGAATGTATGAAAGGGTTCAGTTATTCAATCTTTTCTGACAGATAGCAATATAATTCAGCAGAGTTTCTTATAGAATTTGAGCCATGGAAGTATTAAAATGCTATTTTATTAACGTCACGATTATAGCAATATAATAATTGTAACAAAAATTTTAAATAATCCAGTTATTGTCCAGTACTTTTTAAGAGCTTTGCTCTTATTTCTTTCATTCTTCACAATAAACATATGGAGTAGGCTCTATGTTACCTCAAGTCACAGAGGGAAAAAAACAAAACAAAACTAAGAACTAGAGACAATGAGAATGATATGGAAATGTCAGTCCAAGATACATACCATAAGGATAAAGAAAATCATGTTTCTCACTCTAGGTGTTGTTGTTAAGTGCTGTGGATTCAGTGCTGACTCATAGGACCCTGTACTGGGTTTCAGAGGAGTGGCTAGTGGTTTTGAACAATCAACCTTGTGGTTCAAATTGACCTTTTGGTCCAGTGCATTATCCTGCAGTGCCACACTAAAACTCCAAGGTGTAGGCAGCACATAATAATTTATCAAGGCCTTTCTGGATTTCTCTTAGTGCTTTCTGCCTGTATTTGAGACTTGCGTTTGTCTTTTTTTCTTCACCTTTATATGAATCCTGGTGTGGTGCTGTAGGATAAGAATGGGACTACCAACCTCAAGCTCAGCAGTTCAAACCCACCAGCTACTCTCAGAAATCCTATACAGTTTCACTATGAGTCAGAATTAACTTGAAGTCACTTCACAGCATTACATGAATCTTTCAGTCAAAGAAAATAATTCTACCACCTAGTGGTCAACTCTACTCCTCTTTAGATAATTCCCCATGTGAGAAGAAAATGCTGGTTAGATTTTTTAATCATTGTAGATTTGTGGTAAGGTTTAAGTCAGTATTAATGTTAAAAAGAAAAAGAAAAGAAAAGGAAAGAAAGTAAAACTTGCTTGTTTTGGAGTTTTTTCAGTAAGTTTCTCCTATCATTATAATAATAATTTTTTCAGAAAGAAAGTTTGTTGCCTCATAGTTTATGGAGATGTTAGAATCAGTCTTCCCTTCTCAAGAGTCTCACACTCTGACATGGAATTACTCCACATTACTTGAAAATAGTCAAGTCAATGAACAGTCAACGTATGAGTGCTAAGGATGTACTCTATCTATTTTATTAATATCCTTTTTCTTCCTTTTTCTGTTCCTTATAGTCAAGAGAAAGAAAGAACAAGAAAATCTTTTTACTGAAATTTAATTTGATTAATGAGCAAGGAGATTAGGACTCTTGGTGTGATGCTGTAGGATAAGCACTATTAACTGTGAGGTCGGTGGTTCAAATCCACATTGATTCTTGGAATCCCTATACAGGGTCACTGTGAGTCAGAACTGACTCCACAAATCTTAACAACAAGAAACGTTTTTAAAAACTGTTTAATGCTTTTTATAGAATGTGATTGATTTTTGTGTGTTATAGTCTAGTTATGGCCCAGTCCACTAAACTCTATTTACAAGATGGTTTATGTTAACGATCACTCTCACTTATTTCTTTGAGATGTCTGTTTCGGGAAAGTATGCCTTCCTTAATGATGACAGTGGTGATGATATTAATCACATATCACTTTTGTCAATCACTTTAATGTGTGATAGATTCTATTTCAATCCTTTTACATGTATCAACCCATTTAATGCTCACACCTATCTTATGAGAAAGATACCCTTATTACCTTTCCTCTGCTTTTCCCCTACCCACAATGAAGAAACCAAGGCACAAAAATTATAAGGCACTTGTTTGTGTTCCTTATCTAATCCAATTCCAGAGTCTGTCCTCTAAACTATTGTTATACTGCCCCCCAGAGACCAAATATGTTCACTGTATAAGAAGTTATTACAGGTGTAAATATATAAATATATGTAGTTGTTATGTGCCGTGGAGTCAACTCCAACTCATAGTGACCCTGAAGAGGGTTTCTGAGGATTTGTAGGAGTAGAAAACCTCATCTTTCTCCGGAGGAACGGCTCGTAGTTTCGAACTGCTGACCTTGAGGATGGCAGCCTGATTTGTAACTACTATGCTACAGGAGCTTCTTCTCATATGGATGCGAAAGCTGGACAGTGAATAAGGAAGATTGCAGAAGAATTGATGCCTTTGAATTATGGTGTTGGAGAAGAATACTAAAAGTGCCATGGACTGCCAAAAGAAGCAATAGATCTGTTTTGGAAGAAGTGCAGCCAGAGTGCTCCTTGGAGGCCGAGATGGCTAAGCTCCGTCTCTCATACTTTGGACATATTGTCAGGAGGGAACAGTCGCTGGAGAAGGATATCATGCTTGGTAAGATGGAGGGTCAGAGAAAAAGAGGAAGACCATCAATGAGATGGATCGGCCAGGTGGCAGCATTGATGGACTCAAGTGTGGCAGCGGTAGTGAGGTTGGCTCAGGATCAGACATTTTTTTGTTCTGCTGTGCATGGGGTCACTATGAGTCGGTTCTGACTCGATGGCACCTGACAACAACAATGCTACAGGAGCTCCTTTTAAGAAAGTATTATTGCAGTACAGAACAGAAATGTCAAACGGCAACTCAAGAAGACAAAATCAAGTATTTTAATGAAATATGCAAAGACCTGGAATTAGAAAACCAAAAAGAAAGAATATGCTCAATATTTCTAAAGTTGAACGAACTGAAGAAAAAATTCAATCCTCGACCTTCAATATTGAAGGATTCTATGGCCAAAATGGAGTCCTGGAGTGGCACTTCATGATAATGCACTGGACCTCAAGGTCTGTTTGAACCCCAAGGTCAGTGTTTCAAACCCACCAGCTGCTCCTCAGAAACCACAAACAGGATCATCATGAGTTGGAACCAACTCGACCGTGACAGTACTTAACAACATCAACATAGGCACAATATTGAATGATGGAGAAAGTATCAAAAGAAGATGGAAGGGGAAAGCACGTGCAAGCGGGTTTAACACAGGGGAGGTTGCAAATTTACTGTCTTTGAGTCCTTGGGGATGTGCAGACGGAAAGAATGCGGATGCTGCAGAGGAGCAGAAACCGCAGGAGATATTGGAGAGCAGCAACTCGAGTGTCAGACATAGATGGGGAACACAGAAGAGGAAAAGTATGCAGACTTGGTGGCCGAGGCTGAGACCGTGGCCACCAGCTGGATGCTAGATTTCCTCTCCCTCCCTCTTAGCCGTGCTTTCGTCGAGGGCTGCTCCGTGGACGTCCACCAGAGCCGCGACAGCACCGAGGCTATTATTCTTGGATTGGCCAGTCTAACTGCTTAGCAATTGAGAACTATATACATATGTCAGTTTTTGACAAGAATTGCAGCAGGAAAATCCTGTGACACGCAGTTTGAAAGTGACGAGCGAATAACATCCTTGGAATCAGCCCTGGTTATTTGGGAGTCAATTGAACATGACAAACTTCATGAAGAAATACAGAATCTAATTAAAATTCAGGCAATAGCTGTTTGTATGGAAAATTGTAATTTTAAGGAAGCAAAAGAAGTCTTTGAAAGAATATTTGATGATCTAAATTCTTGTCACCTTTAAAAAGAAAATTGTTGGCGATAATCTCTCAGAAAGATGCCTTCCATTCTACTTTTCAACACTTCAGCTACAACCACATGATGGAAAAAATAAAGAGTTATGTGAATTATGTGCTAAATGAAAAATCATCAACTTTTTAAATATAGGCAGCTGCAAAAGTTGTGAAACGTAAAAGAACAAGAAGACTAACGTCTCAAGATAAACCTAACAGCAATGATATTGAAATGGAAACTCAAGTTAATTTGGATATACTAGAATGTGTTAGTGACAAACAGTCTGCAGTAACTGATTCCTCAGAGCGTACGTACGGGATCTGTATTGAGGTCTCATAAGAATCTCTTTTTATCTAAGTTTGACCATGGAAGCCAACTACAAGATCTTAATAAGAAAGAGAAAAGAATGGAAACTGTTCAAAGTGGAAGACAGAAAGTGAAAATACGCAGATCAAGTGAATTCAAGAAAGGGAATTATAAAATCAGCCAGTAACTTCTGACAAATATTGTGTTAGGTAAAAACAGGCCTGGCTTTGGGAAGAAGACAAGAACCTGAGAAGTGGTATGAGGAAATACGGAGAGGGAAACTGGACTGAAATACTATGATATTATAAATTCAACAACCGAACAGGTATCATACTAAACGACAGATGGAGAATGATGAAGAAACTGAAACTGATTTGCTCAGACAGTGAAGACTAAATATGTTGGTAAAGGCATTTTTATAGTATTTTTCTGTGAAACAAAGTCATTTAATTCATTTAAGGATTGCGCTATAACAGTAAAATTATATGCCACCATTGTATTCTTAAGAATTTTTTTTCATTTGATGACATGTAAAATTATTGAACCCTTGCATCATTGAACTTTCATTCTCAAATCCTCCAATATAGTCCAATATAGTAGAAAACCTGACAAGAGCAAAAAAAAAAACTCTTTTTATTAACCTATTCTGTTTCTGTAGACTGACCTCAGCCCCATAGCACACACATAAAAATGGACTTTTCCAATCACTGGAGAATAATAAGCCTTTGACACAGAGGTCACAGCTTGATTTATGGTCTTAGTATGCTACTTAATTACCAAGACATTTGTTTGTTGTTGTTGTTGTTAGGTGCCATTGAGTCGGTACCAACCCATACTGACCTTATGCACAGCAGAATGAAACATTGCCTGACCCTGAGCCAACCTCATTATTGTTGCCACACTTGAATCCATCGATGATGCCCCTTGGCCAATCCATCTCATTGGGGGGGGGTCTTCCTCTCTTTCTCTGACATTCCACCTTACCGAACATGATCTCCTTCTCCAGCTACTGGTCCCTCCTGACAATATGTCCAAAGTATAAGAGACAAAATTTGGCCATCTTGGCCTCCAAGGAGTGCTCTGGCTGCTCTTCTTCCAAAATGGATCTGTTGGTTCTTTTGGCATCCCATGGCACTTTCAATATTCTTCTCCAACACCGTAACTCAAAAGCATCAATTCTTCTACAGTCTTCCTTATTCACTGTCCAGCTTTTGCATATATATGAGGTTATTGAAAATACCATGGCTTGGGTCAGGCACACCTTAGTCCTCAAGCTGACATCTTTGCTCTTCAACACTTTAAAAAGGTCTTGTGCAGCAGATTTTCCTAGTGCAATGCATCATTTGATTTTTTGACTGCTGCTTCCATGAGTGTTGATAGTTGATCCAAGAAGAATGAAGTCCTTGACAACTTCAGTCTTTTCTCCGTTGATAAGAATGTTGTTTATTGATTCAGTGGTGAGGATTTTTGTTTTCTTGACATTGAGATGTAATCCATACCAAAGGCTGTGCTCTTTGATCTTCATAAGTAAATGTTTTAAGTCCTTTTGACTTTCAGCAAGCAAGATTGTATCATCTACATATTGCAGATTGTTAATGAGTCTTCCTCCAATCCTGATGCCACATTTTTCTTCATAGAACCCAACTTCTCGGATGATTTGCTCAGCATACAGGTTGAATAAGTATGGTGAAAGAATACAACCTTGTTGCACACCTTTCTTAATTTTAAAACATTCAGTGTTCCCATGTTCTGTTAGAACAACTACCTCTTGGTCCTGGTACAGATTCCTCATGAGCACAATTAAGTGCTCTGGAATACTCATACTTCACAATGTTGTCCATAGTTTGTCATGATCAACCATAGAATGATAAATATACAACTTAATATGGTAGTTATTACATACCTCAGTTTTCATACAAAGAAAAAATTGAAAATATTAACCTATTGGACAAAATTTGTATTATTAGCAACACTAGTTTCATGCCATATTTTGTATATTTGACTTTTGTTCAGTGTTCAAAGCTTTACAAAAATCGTTTAAAATAAAACTGCTTTGTAACTCTTGAAGACAGCTACCTGGCTAATTGATTGTAAGGAATCCGTATTTGTTTCCTTTTCAAAGAGAGGAGATACAATAGAATGCAGAAATCATTGGACAATATCATTAATTACACATGCAAGAAAGTTTTTGCTAAAGATCAAAAATAGCTGCAACAGTACATTGATAGGGAACTGCCAGAGGTTCAAGCTGGTTTTAGATGAGAACGTGGAACAAGGGACATCACTGTTGAAGTCAGATGGATCTTCACTAAAAGCAGAGAATACCATAAAAATGTTTACCTGTGCTTTATTAACTATTCAAAGGCTTTCAATTGTGTGAATTATCACAAGCTATTGATAGCATTGCAAAGAATTGGATATTCCAAAATATGTATGCTCATGAGGAACCTGTATATAGACCAAAAGTCAGTCATTTGAACAAAACAAGGGGACATTGAATGGATTAAAATTAAGAAAAGTGTGTGCCGGGGATGTATTCTTTCATCATGCTTATTTAATCTGTGTACTGAACAAATAATCTGACAAGCTGGATTATATGAAGAAGATTGTGACATCAGGATTAGAAGAAGATTCCTTAACAACTTTCAATATGTAGATGATACAATCTGGCTTGCTGAAAGTGAAGAGACTTAAAATATTTACTGATATAGATCTATGACCACATCCTTCACTGTGGATTTCAGCAAAGAAAGTAAAAGTCCTTACAATGGGACCAACAAATAGCATCATGATAAATGGAGAAAACGATTGAAGATGTCAAAGACTTTCTTGTGCTTGGATCCACTATCAACACAAATGGAAGCAGCAGTCAAGAAATCAAACAACATATTGCACTAGGCAAATCTGCCGTACAAGATCTCTATACAGTTTTCAAGAGCAAAGATGTGTTTAAGGAATAAGGTGTGCATGACCAAAAACATTGTATTTTCAATAGCCTTATATCCATGTGAAAGTTGGGACAATGAGTAATGAAGACCATAGAAGAATTGATTCATTTGAATCATGGTGTTTGAGAAGAATACTGAAAGTACCATGAACTACCAGAAGAACAAACAAATCTCTCTAAGAATACGTTTAGCCAGAATCCTCTTGGGAAGCCAGGATGAGGAGACTTCATCTCTCATACTTAGGACATGTTATTAGGAGGAATCAGTCCCTAGAGAAAGACATCTTGCTAGGTAAAATAGTAGATCATAGGAAAAGAGGAAGACTGCAAGGTGATGAATTGGCACTGTGGTGGCAGCAATGGGTTCAGGGGTAATAACAATTGTGAGGACTGGGCAGTGTTTTGCTCTGTTGTGCGTAGGTCCACTATGAATCAGAGCTAATGTGCAATGGCTCCTAACAACAAGAGATGCTGAAATGTTAAATAGGTTTACTGATTAAGGAATTTACTTTTGTATGCCAGGCTCTTGAGGTGGGTGCTTAATTTTAGTTTATCACCCAATAAAATGACAAACACCTATGGGCAGATCTTTGAGATTGCTTGATAATAGTCAATGAGATAAATAATCAACCTTTGAATGTCAAGGATGTACTTACTCCACTAAGATCGATTTCTTCCTTTTTCCCTCCTTCCCCATTCTTATAGTCAACAACAAGAAAGAGCAAGAACAAAGGCTAAAAGAGAAGCTACAAAGGTAATTTCCCCAGAGATGCTAATGCTATGCCCTGTCATTTTTCTATACAAACGCATTCTTTAGAGTTCACAATTACAAGTGTTATTTTGCTCATTTTTCATGCCTGAGATAAATAATAAAAATATACTTTGTAATCTGAAAAAAAATTATCTGGATTAGAATTTTCCAGAGTGCCACCTTTATTTTATAATTTTTCAAATTTTCAGACAAATTTAATAAAAATGAAGTGTTAACTTTGTAAGTATATTTCCCATGTTTAGTTTTTCTGAAATTTGTTTTATTCCAATTATTAATATTATTTTTTGCAGTTTCCTAATTTAACTTTATGCCAATAACACCTCTATCATTTCAAATAGAGTACACAATTGCTATTATTCACATTAATGTAATTTTTTAAATTCACATATATTATCATATTTGATCTTTGTTACCATTATAGAGAAAGATATAGTTTTCTCACATCCAATTAACATAGTAAGAAAGTCTTCTGATGTTTAAACTTTGTTTCACCCCCCAATTTCCTGGTTGTTGTTGTTGTTGTTGTTGTTGTTAAGTGCTGTTATTGTTGTTAAATAGGTTCCAACCTCCAGTGACCCTGTATAGGGTTTTCAAGCAGCACCTGGTGAGCTTAAACTGCCGACCTTGTGGTTCAAACTGACTTTGCAGTTCAGTGTATTAACCCACAGCACCAAACCAGAACTCCAATGTCCTGGAAGCATAGTGAATTATGAGCTGGACTGCTAACCACAAGACCATCAATTAGTATCTATCATCTTCTCCTTGGGAGAAAGATGAGGATTTTCTGCTTCCATAAAGATTTGCAGCCTTAAAAACCCTATGAAATGCTGCTATCAGTTGAAACCTACTTGGTGGCACACAACCACCACCACCATGCTTTTGAAATTTTACAGGTTGCCCAGCAAAGTCTGTGTGTAAATGCTGGGTTACTCTCATGAGATTTCTATATACAGGTTTTATAATTTTTAAAAAGCAAACTTGATTGCATTTTTGGTGAAGGTTTACAAGATTTTATTTATTTATTTTATTTCCTAACAACAGCAGAAAGTACAAACCTATCATTATTTGGAATAAGTTGACATAGTTAAAAAGTTTGTCTTTAATCGACTTTACTTTCTTAATAACTTTTCCTGTAAGTTGGCACCATTTAAATGCTTAATTACTATTATTATTGGTGATTTAGAACTGAAAATTTATTTTATCCATCATACCTGGTCAGTTGCCAAGTTCTTTTAGGTTTTCTAAGTGGTCCCAGAAGATTCCTCAACATCACTCCTATTGCTACTCCCTTGATTAAAAGCCAGCAACAATCCCCATCCCTGGATTTTAACAACACATTCATAGAAAGGTGTCAGTTTCTCCAGGGACAATACTTGTTTCTGCCTCCATCTTGTTCTTCTCATATTCTTAAGAACAAACCACCACAACAAAACTGTAATATTTCATACCCTGTAAGAGGAGTCCTGGTGTGGTGCTGTGGGTTAATGCGCCAGACTGCAAAGCCATTTGAACTGCAAGGTAGGCAGTTCAAGCTCACCAGTTTCTCCTCAGAAACCCTATACAGGGTTGCTATGGGTCAGAATCGACTCGATGGCACTTAACAACAACAACAACAACAAGAGGAAAAGATGCCGGAAAGATAGAAACTAATTCTGAGACAATATGTTCTTATTTTCAAGGAACTCTGCAGTGAATTTCGGGACCAAGTGAGATACGGAATGCTCATATGTACTAGAGAGAATGATCCTGTTCGTGGCCCAGATGGAAAAATTCATGGGAACAAGTGTGCCATGTGTGCAAGCGTGTTGTGAGTATCTGTTCTCTTCTCTCTCGCTAAATATCTTTATTGCTGATCATTCCAGAGCCTTAGATTCCTCCAGAAATGTGTAGCATACCTATCATGGATTTATGTTAGGTAATTTAAAAGTCACTTGGCAAGACCTGAAGTAATATTTAATCACATACTGAGAATATTACTACCTACATAATTCTTTCTGTTTTCAAATTATGCTAAGGAGAAGGTCTCAATTTAGTTCTTGATGTTTGATGTTTGATGATAAGGATTGGATGATCTTTATGGTATCCTTCTTATCCCTGACATTTTATGATTCTATGAGTATGGTCAGATATGGGATATCTATAGTAAAGACCAAATAATTTGCATCCATAAAGATATCAGTGTAGGAAATTCTATGGGGAAATTCTGCTCTATCCTATACGGTCTCTATGAGTCAGAATCAACTTGTTGACACCTAACATTTATATATATTTGGAATCCTGGTATGGTGCTGTAGGATAAGCACTGGACTGCTAACTGCTAGGTAGGTGGTACAAACTTACCAGTCATGCCTTGGAAACCCTGTACAGGGTGGCTATGAGTTGGAACCAATTCAACAGCACTCAATAACAGCAATGTATATAGAGCCCGGTGGCCCCATACAATAAGTATTGGATGGTGAATCACAAGGTCCAATGTTCCAGCTCACCTAGCATTCCACAGGATAAAGGTGACATGTTCTGCTCCTGCAATGATTTAAAACCTCAGAAACCCTATACAGGGCCACTGTGAGTCAGAACTGGATCAATGACACTTAACAAATCTTTGGTGTTAAGTTCCTTTGAGTACCTTCTGTGTCAGAGAGACCATTTATAGGTTTTCCAGGAAGTGGCTTGTGGGTTTGAACAACCATCGTATTCAAACTAACCTTGCATTCCAGTGCTTCTCTTACATAGAAAACACCAGGACTCTCATACAGAACCACACCAGGATAAGTACTGGACATGAAGGCCAATTTGAACTGCAAGGTTGGCAGTTCAAATTCATCAGTTGCTCCTCATATATACAGGATTGCTCTGAGTTGGAACTGACTTGACAGCACTTAACAACAAATATACACATGGAATCTGAACCACAAGGTCAATTTGAACCACAGGGTTGGTGGTTCAAACTCACCCAGCCGCTCCTATGAGGAGGGTCACTATGAGTTGGAATCCAATTGAAGGTACTTAAATAACTTAATGTATATAAAGCCTCATCGTTCTCACAACAACCACCACCATATATTGTTATTGCTGTTGTTGTTAGGTGCTATAGAGTTGGTTATGATGCATGGTGACCCCGTATAGGGTTTCCAAGGAGCAACTGGTGGGTTCCAGCCAGATTCAGAGGAGGACATGGAATGAAGGACATAATTGCTGACATCTGATAGACCTTGGCTGATAGCAGAGAATACCAGAAATATGTTTACCTGTGCTTTATTGACTAGGCAAACGCTTTAGCTTGTGTGGCTCATGATTCCTTGGTTGCTAATTTCATTCAAGACTTAAAATACTTACTGATGAAGATCAAAGACCACAGCATTCAGTATGGGTTGCACCTCAATGTAAAGAAAACAGAAACCGTCACCACTGGACCAATAAATAACATTAATATAAATGGAGAAAAGACTGAAGTGGTCAAAGACTTCATTTTGTTCGGATCAAGTATCAACACTCAGAATCAGCAATCAAGAAACCAAATGACATATTGCATTAGGCAACTCTGTTGCACAAGACCTCTTTAAAATATTCAAGTACAGAGATGTCAGTTAGAAGACTAAGGTGTGCCTGACCCAAACTATGGTATTTTCAATAACATCATATTCATGTAAAAGTTGAACAGTTAATAAAGATC